GGATTATAGAAGCAAATTGATCGCTGAAAAAAAAAGTCCGTTAAAGGAACAAATCACTATAGACATAAAAAGGAAAAACAGTGTGTGCAATACAACACTGGTGCAAAAACTGCCACAAGCAATGCAACATTTTTGTTAATATTTTTGGAACAGGTTGTCACAAAAATTACTTGAAAAGTTAATTAAATTAACAATAATTGTACAATAAAAAAAGTCTTAGGGAAAAACAAATGTCTTTATACTTGTAGAAGGTGCAAATGAGCGAAATCAAACCTAAGACAACATTTTCAGGGCATATGATTTATATAATTGAATTACTGAACAGGAATTTACCTTAAGCCAAGCTGCCCAAGTTTCTTTGTTTCCCGTGATGACACCACGCGATGTATCCCAACCAAATCTTGTTGCTTTAGTAAGAAAATCGCGAGAGGAGGAGAGCGAACTGTGAAAGAAATCTAAGATTTTCGAGGTAACTCGACAGAAATGTATCATGAAGACGAGATAAAAAAGAGAATCAACATGAGAATTTGAGTTGGGACTACGTGGGTTGGGCCAAGGAAAACTAATAAATTTGACTAATCCTATGAGTGGAAACAAGGCGTCTATGCTAAAGCATGAACAATTTTGAGCCCTTGAATCGGATACAAGTCTACGAATAAAAATAGGCAAGGATTACGAGACAACAAAACCATTCTTTCAAAAATTGTAAACTATGATAAATGCCAGAATTCCTATACTATTGGCCTTACTCTACAACATGAGTCGCAGTAGAGTAAGTTTTGGGCGGGAATCCATACTTGTGAACTGGAGTCAAGTATGAAGAGGTCCCAGCGCAACCGAGGAAGAGCAACCTGAGGAGGTCTACACGAGACTTGAAGGTCTCGGAGACTAAGTATGAAGTACTCTCTGTGACTAATTATGAGAAGGTCGAGCGGCTCAAAGAAGATAAGTAGAGGTCCTCTCGACCAGCTAGAGGTCATCTCGACCTGACAAAGGAGGAGCTAGAGGTCATCTCGACCTGCTAGAGGTCACCTCGACCTGCTAGAGGTCATCTCGACCTGCTAGATGCTAGAGGTCATCTCGATCTTCTAGACCTGTTAGACATGCTAGAGGTCACTCACCTCTACCTGCTAGAGGTCATCTCGTCTCAACCTACTAGAGGTCATCTCATCTCTACCTGCTATAGGTCATCTCGTCTCGACCTGGTAGTGGTCACTCACCTCGACCTGCTAGAGGTCATCTCATCTCGACATGACAATAGAAGAGCTAAAGCTCACCACAACTAGAGGTCTTTGTGATTAGAGGTCTCCGCTGTTAAAGGTCTCTACTACTAGAGGTTTCTATGACTAGAGGTCTCCATTACTAGAGGTCTACGCTACTAGAGGTTTCCGTTGCTAGAGGTCTCCACTGCTAGAGGTCTCCGCTACCAGAGGTCTTTGTGACTACAAGAGCATGATGTAGAGGCAGTAATTAGATAAGAAGGAATCTGATGATGACTCAGATGTGTTTAAAATACAGATATGGTCAAATCTCGGGCAGTATGGGAAGGCTGACCGAGGGCAGTCCGAGCAGGTATTTTTGGGAAAGTATTTCCCTTATAAAAAGGGACTAAGATACAACCCTAACTCCTCTATCCCACATTGTACACACTTCTACATACATTATAGCTCTAGATTACAGAGCTTCCATCTTACTCTCTTCTGTTTACTGACTTGAGCATCGGAGGCCCTTTGTCGGTAACCCCACTGGCGTTGGGTTCTTACAGGTATTCGCAGCGCTCTAGAGGCGGTTCAGATAGATCGAAGCTCATCTCATCTGGTTCACTCTAGATCTAGGAGAGGACTTATCAGTAAGCAACGTGTGAAACCTCGTCCACATAGTTTCCAATCTTCGCTACTTACAGTGAACTTGCGTCTGGTTGTACTAATAGGTTGTGGTGCAACTTTTATTGAGTTTGTCGTTCAATTCTGACCACTATTGGTTTGTGAATTTGCCACCAATGGAGTTTCCTTTAAGGACCTCGTCCAACATGAGGTCCATGAAGGATTTCTAATTTTTCCGCGGCCATTTCACATCACCTTGGGTCTCTTTTCCATTTTGTTTTTCATCATTCGTAGACACCTACATTGTCACCAAATTGACATTGTGTTTCACATATATATAATAGTTCAAATCATTTATGTTGTAAGCGTGTCAAATAAACAAAAGACATCCACAATTATGCCATATGTGCTATTGTCAATTTCACAAAACATGAAAACGGACATAAGGCAACAATGAACCAAAGAGTACAACCCGAAAAAAAAAATGAAAGTCATAGAACAGAGTGGGATTCATATAAGGCTAGGTTAATTCAAACTATACAAGCAGTGTTAAAAACTCTTGAGGGAGAGCTGTGTCGCCCTTGTGGTCCTACTCGGCTCGATTCCGGATTAGTCGGTTCCCTGTGAATCCAGAAACCGGAAGGTCCCTGTACCAAAAAAA